AGAACTCAAAAACCTAAAAAACCTAAATACTAGAAAACCAAGCAACACGATCAATAGATAGCTGAGTAAATGAGCTTAGTTCCAGAAGCTGAAGGATAAAAGACAAATGGACATACAAAAGGTTCACTTCCTCAGCCGTCAGAATTCAAACCGAAACAACAATGAATCCCCTCTCACCCCAGACAGAATGAGTATCACTCCGAAAGCCACAAGTGTTGTGCAGGTTTCAAGAATAAAGGAATATATCAATATATACATACATAAATATATACATATATAGTGGCTGGCTGAGTGTAAATTAGTTTAGCCAGCATAAAAATTAATACAGAGGCACTTCAAAAACGCCTAAAAATAGAATTACCATACGACCCAGCTGCACCACTTCCTGTATACCTCAAAGACTCCTAATCCACAAACCCCAGAGATGCTTTTTGCATATCCGTGTTTAGTGCACCGCATCACAAGAGTCAAGTCGTAGAGTCAGCCTGGGTGTTCCATCAACGAAAGAATGGATAAAGAAAATGTGGCACACACCATAAAGGAAAAGAAGGGATGGTGTTTGCAAGAAAACAGACACAACCAGAGAGCACAGATTAAGTGAGCACAAGATGAACTCAGGAAGACAAATATTGAATGTTTTTCTTCATTTGTGGACCCTGGATTTTTATATAGCTGTATAAAAATAATATACATATACACCATAATCATATTATTTTATGCATTTATTATATAGATATGGTCAAAGTACAGGATATAGTTGCATAAACAAGGCTCTCTATTCGCAAAGAGTATACAGCCATAAAGAGGACTGGAAACGGGACTCAGTGGAAAATCACTCACTTGTTGCCCAAGGCCCTGCCTTTGTCCCTGGCATCAAAATAATAAGTATATATAGAGAAAATAAAGATTATTTACCACATTAAATGAAAAAAAGTGTGCACACTCTATACAGTACACTATCACTATGAGAGAGGGAATACATGTGTGGACATATGTATACGCGTGTGGGAGCACATATGTACATGTCTGTGTATTTGTATATGTTTATACATGTATAATCTAAAGACTATTTAATGAAGCTGACTATGCAGGGAAATCCTGGATACACTTGTCTGTAAAGGCCCTGTTAGACTCTGGAAGAAGGCATAGAAACCCAGTGACACCAGTTGTCTTCCAAGAAAGTATCTGGGTTGCTGAATTTTTTTTTTTACCTTTTTACAATATGAATGTATTTGTTACTTAATTAAATTAAATAATTTATTTAAAAAAACTTGGAGACAGGATCTCACTGCATAGGACAGGCTGGGCCTCACCTCTGTTAAACCTTCTGCCTCAACCTCCTAAATACTGGCTGTGTGTGTCACCAAGTTGTCCATATTATTTAGTTTAACGAGTGAGATCTCATTTTTTTTTAAAAAAAAATCTGTATTAAAATATGGATACACTGCTAGTGGCCCCACAAACTGCCCATCTCACACAACTGTCACCCACATTCAGAAAGCCTGGTTTGGGTTTATGCAGGTTCCCCAGTTGTTAGTCATGAGTCTGTGATTTCCCACTAGCTCGGGTCAGCTGTTAGTGTGGGTTTCCCCATCATGTTCGTGGCTCTTTGCTCATATTATTGCTCCTCCCTCTCTATGACTGGACTTGTGGAGTTTGGCCCAGAGCTCAGCTGTAGTTTCCTGCATCTGCTTCCATCAGTTACCGGATGAAGGGTCTATGAAGGCAATTAAGGTGGTCATCAATCTGATTATAGGGGAAGGGCAGTTAAGGACACTATTGCTTAGGGTCTTAGCTGGGGTCATCCTGGGGATTTCCTAGTGCATAAACTGACTCTTTGGAGCCCGTTTCCTAAGGAGGGATACCTTGCTCAGCCTAGATATAGTCGGGAGGACCTTGGTCCTACCTTAAATGATGAGACAGACTTTGTTGACTACCCACGGGAGGCCTCACCCTCTCTGAGGAGGGGATGGGGTGGGTGGAGAGAAGGTGGGTGGAGCGGGAGGACGACGGGAGGGAGAGGGAACTGGGATTGGTGTGTAAGATAAGATTGTTTTAAACATAAAAAGTACAATAGGATACACACATGGAAAAACCTGGTGCTAGAGGGCCTGTGCCTATCAGCTTCATGTAATTAATTCCCCTTCACCCAGTCATCAGCGCCAGACAGAGGGTGGCCAAAGCTCCTGTGGAGAAGATTCCCCTGGGAGGAGTTACAGAAGAGTCTTTGGAAGCAGCACCAACAGGAAGAACCAGTTAAATCAGGTTTCCTCTGGTCTCCCAACCCAGAGAACCTGGTCTGTCCAAGTCTTGGTTGGAGACAATGACAGAGAGGAGGAAGAATCTGAAGTCAGAGGTGACCAGAAAAACTGAGCCCCCTGCCCCTATCTCTGAGATCCTCAGAATGGAAGACTCAGGACTCCCGTAATGGGAAGAAGGGGGACATGTCAACTCTACCAGCTTCCAGGGACCTAGAAACGGCAGCTAACGTGCCAGCTTTACAATCACATCCATTTAAGGGTGACAAGTCCCACAAGCGGTTAGGGACACCTGCCTCCCCTTCTGCCTGCTTTACACAGGTGCTCTGAGGGCCTGTAAAATCCAGAGATCCTGCTCCTGCTCTCTGAGCCCCTTGCACCAGCAACCAGGAGGACCTATTCTGTTTTGCTTCTAAATTATGTTTCTTCTGCAGCATTAGTCCCAGCCAAACAGGGTGTAGGCTGTCAGTCGCACTCACAGAAACAGATCTGGTGAAAAGAGACCATGCTTTGCATCCTGAGAACACCTACAAAGACTTGTTTTTGTTTGTCATCTGTGGTAAGAAGAGAACCCAACTCTTCTGCAAGCCAGGCAAACTCTTGAGCCACACCCCTCCCCTAAAATTTCCTAAGTGTTTGCACTTCCTTTGCCCAGTTCTCTGCTGGGGATACAGGTGAGATGCTGAGATGATAGTAACCAAGTCCCATCAAGCACTGATGGGAACAGCAGTGCTTCGCTCTCTGCTGGCTGCAGACTGCACGTTTGCACCCAGGAGTGGGCAGAGGCCCTTCTGTAGGCATTAGAAAAGGAGCCCTCCTTCTTCCAGTTGAGGCAGTTGCTGGAATTTTTTTTTTCTCAGCCTGTGGCTGCAGTCTTGGCATCCCCAGCATGACCGCCCACCCCAAGGTGTCTGTTTTGACACGCTGATCTTCTCTATGACCAGGCAGAAGTCACACTGGGCCCACCCTGCAACCCCATCTTAACTGTCTGCAGCCACCTTCTGTCCAAATAAGGTCACATTCAGAGGCAGTGGAAGTCAGGACTTCATGTCTTCCTTAGGGGACCCAACACACAGCATAACAGATGGGAGAAGATATTTCGTTGGGTTCTCTTCAGAGGAGGGAGGGAGGTGTGCTGGGGTGTAAGGACACTGGTCAGGCCCTGCTGCTTTCCAGCTAGTCAGGGGACAAGCCTAAGCAGATGCTCCCATCCTAGGCCTGATCACACTTAGCGTCTGAAAGCAGGCCGACCCTGCATTCAGGACAGACCGGACTTTAGGCTAAGCAGACTGTGGAATTCCCTAAGCTTCTGCATTTGTCCCATCAGGACCCAAGGCTCCTTGTTCTTGTGGCCAAGCACTATTTCTACTTTGCTCGGTCCATCCATGAGACAAAATTTTTTAACTATCCATTATGACTATATTATAAATGGGAAATCCAACTTCCCAGAGATGCAATTATTAGTTCACAATCACTCAGCAAGGGCACATGCTGAGAGCCCCCAGAAGGTCCCCAGTCCAGGACAGGTGGGTGCTGGTTCTGGAGTCAGGGCAGGCAGGCGTAAACTCTGGGGACTGATCTGAAGGAAGTACACAGCGGGGGGCCTTATGAACCCCAGTCATCAGCTGTCACTCTGCTCTGTTCTCTGGTGGGAGATCAGGCCTCCTGCCTTATTTTCGTGGTGCCGAGGACTCAACACAGGGTCTGATCTACCACCGAGCTAGAACCTAGTGGTTTTCCAGGTTTCCTCGTCCCTTAGAGAGAAAGAAAGTAACTCGGAAAGAGAAAGCTCCTGGTATGGCCCGGCTACACACACCCATCTTTGCCATTCCCTGGCCTTTTTCCCAATCATGGGAGTCAATTTTCAAAATACCTTTTAAACGCAAAGCCCCCACACCATCTTTTCAGAAGAATCCCAACAATACATGCAAACAGTACCGAGGACCCAGGGGCTCTGCAGGACCCTCCCAAGTGGCCATTTCCACAACTCCCAACTCCGACTTTTCTGAGTGAGAAAATGGTTTGAAACCACATGGCAACGTGGCAGGCCAGGAACAAAAGACTACCCAGACCTACCCTTGTGCCTGGTGAGTTTCAGTGATCATTAGATAAAGAGATGATGACCTTAAAGAATAGTTGGGTTTTTTTTTAAACGAAGTATTCTATTTTTAAAAAAGATTCCTGTCTTTTTGTACACTCTGAGCTATTTCTGTGGCCATTCTCTATCGGGCATTCGTTAGAGAACATAGTTGATGGGAGAACCTGAGGCTGGCGGCTGTTGGAGAAAGGCAGGAGATTTTTACGGCAAGCTTTTATGGCTCAGTCAAACTCTATTTCTTCTACAAATGTATTAAGAAAGGATTTTCATTTTTGTTTTGCTTTGTTTTAGGCTGAAATTTCGGAATCATAACGAACAGGTGGACTTCTGTGATTATTAATAAAGCAATGGAAATTGAAAAGGAAAAAAAAAGCAAGGAGGGATGGTTCCCGTGGATGCCGGGTGTAGTCCCGGAGAAGGGGCGTACAGACATATAGCATATTCCCCAGAGTGACTCCCCAATTTGCCACTTTCTATTGCCCCCAAACTGCAGTGACTGACTGCATTTTGCTAAGACACCAGTGCCCACCCACCCATCTGTCCCTGTGTCCATCCACCTGGCCTCTGGCACCCCCTACTCCCTCTTGGTGCGGAATCCGAACCCATAATCTCCATCCGCGCCCCCATCTGGGCAGGTAACTCACCGACTCGACTCCTGCTCCACCGCGCTCGGTGCGAAACTGAAAGTGGCCACTTAGCGCTGTTCGCCAGTTCATGGAACCCGCCGCTGCTGCCGAGAAATCACGTGGATTAAAAGTGCCAGTCTCAAACACTCGGGGAGGGTGCCCGGAAACCGCCGCAGCTTGGCGATGGCCACTGAGATGCTGGGGCGTGCCACTGTGCCTGCCAGCATGACGAGGTAAGGTGGGCATCTGCCGGGCGGTGGGTGGGGCCAGGGCGCCGCAGGACCCGCACAGTCCTTTCCTCGCCTCCCCTCCCCGAGACTTTAAAGGAGGAAGGGAAGAGAAGCCGCTGAGCGAAACTTCGTGGAGTTGAGTCCAGAGTCCTGACTTCTGGCTCCAGTGCGCTGCAGGATAACAGCTATTCGTCACCAAGACCTGACCGGGACAAGCACAGTCTCCAGCTGTGACTACCACGCCTTGAGGAGCCACAAGTCAAAGATGCAAGGGTTGCTTAATTAATCTACAGAAGAAAGCTGGGGCGCGCGCAGAGCGGAGGCGGGATGGGAAGAGGTGGGCTGCGAGGAAGGGCTTACAGGGCCAAGGTCGGTCCTGGAAAGCGGCTAGCCTTGCTCTGTTCCAAGTTCTACATCCTGCCCTGCCTCTTGTCCTTGTCCCAGAACAGGAGGACAGGCTCTTCCTGAGGATGGCTCTGTCTTCCATATAGAGGGGGATCTCAGTGATGTCCCACAATGAAGCGACTCTCCCAGACTGTTCTGAGGAGGAGTGGCGAGACAAGGATGTCAGGTGAGCACGGATAGCAGGGTCAGGAGCACAACCATGACCCTAAGCCCTCAGGATCAAGTCCTTTTTTAGTGCTTGCTACATCACCCTAGGCCAGTGGTTCTCAACCTTCCTAATGCTGCGACCCTTGAATACGGTGAGACCCCAGCCATAAAATTATTTCCATTGCTATTTTATAACTGCAATTTTGCTACTGTTGCGGATCACATGTAAATATCTGATGCGTGACCCCCTGCGAAAGCAGTCGCGACCCAGAGGTTGAGGACCACTGTCCTAGACCAAAAACCCTAACTCCTGAGTCTCAGCTCTGGTACCTGCCTGGTGGAGACAATGACAGTAGCACCTTCCCATTCCTCTGTGAGAATGGAGGACCAGAGGTTACAGCAGGTGTAACCTGTACCTGGAACTTAAGAAGCCCTTCTGTTTCTAGCTCCTCCTTTGGGTCTTGAATCCCTGTGACCTCTAACCTCCTCCCTTCCAGGACCAAGCCAGAAATGTAGAAAGTGTTTGATGGGCAGAGCAGGTGGCGTTATTTTTCAGTGATTACCTGGGTGTGACTCCCAACTTTCCCACCCCTGCCTGGTGCACCTCTAACAAACGCCTTGATTATAGCCAGCCTCTGTTGCCTGTTGTCAGATGGTAGAGGTTGTCCTGGCCTGTGGTACATGGCGGGATGCCCGCTGTATGTGTGAAAGGAACTACCGTCCGACAGTAGGACTCAGCTCCTATTTCTCCAACTGTTCCCTGTTGCTGGACCCACGCCTTTCCGTGCTGACAGAGGGGTGTCAGTGGACACAGACAATTAGCCGCGACCCCGAGAGACAAACTCAGGCCATATTTAGATGCACTTAACCCCACAAAGCCCCCATGAGGGGAGCAGGACAGGGGTTAACATCTTGCTAACCACAGGGAGAAGATCCAGAGAGGTCATGTGAGAGCTGAAGGTCACGTGGCAATGAGAACTGGCTCTTGAACCTCGTACCCTTTCCACTACTGTAGAACGAGGTCTACCAAGAGGGGCTCAGGGAGAACTGTTTTCCCAGACTCCCTCTGTGAGCCAAAGTGCTGCCATCTTTATGAGACCAGAAGGATACAGAGAAGGTCATTGAACCTTTATCTGAGTTTCTGGCTGCTCCTCCCAGCCACTTGCAGGAAATTGTGCCCTAATTGCTTGAGGTCTCTAGAAGGGGAAAGAGTTTACAGACTGGGGAGAACCAGGAGAGAAGGCTTTTTCTGTGCAGCTATGGGGAAGCCGTCCTCCATCCTGGGTAAAGACTTCTGCAGTGTCACTTTGGGGTCACCAGTGCTCGGTAAGTCAGCCCAATAAACTCGTCGGTTCTGCACGGTGAATGTGATGCAACAGGACTGTGGTTTGTGTTGGGAGTTTAGGAGGAGGGGATAGGTGTGGTTTACATCTCCCCAGGGAAAGAGTTCTCACAACACCCCAACCAGTAGCCTGAGACCTCCATCAACACCAGGTTCCTTTGGCCAAAGTGTGCACGGTCCTTCTGTGGCAGTGCTTACATGGCTATATTCTGTGTGTGAGAACTGGCCCAAGGTGCTAGGAAAATGAAGAAAGGTGTACAGACCCAAGCCTGGACAGAATGCAGTTTACTGGAGACTTACAGATAAAAGTATTTCTTGGGGTGTGTGAGGGGGATTGGAGACATGGCTCAGTGGTTAAGAGCATGGTTGCTCCTCCAGAGGTCCTAAGTTCAATTCCCAGCAACCACATGGTGGCACCCAGCAATCTCTAGTGGGATCTGATGCCCTCTTCTGGCACACACACACACACACACACACACACACACACACACACACTACATCTTTTAAAAAAATATCCCTAGGGTGACTGTAAGACAAGTGGGTCCCACACCCCGAGGAGGTGGGAAGGGTCCCTTGTTTGGCGAAAACATCCCACTCTTCTACCAGGTCTGCCAGGGTCTAGCTTGGGCCGTGGCTGTCCAGATCTTTAGCGGTCAGCCCATGCAGAGCTTCTGGTCTGGGAGCGGGCGGGGGGAGGAGAGGGTAGGTTTGTGAGAAAGACAGGCTGTTTGCTTCTGTTCCGACAAGCCTCTGCTCTCTGGGCTGCCATTGATACTGCTACATGATCTCATGGCACTTTTTGGTGAACTGTAGTGGCCCCCAGCCCCCAGAACAGACCTGGAGACTTGTTCTGCAATGACAGGATACTGGGGACTTCATCTGCCCCCATGGTTCAAGGATGCGTTCCAGGGTCCCAGCAAGGGTGGGACTTGCAAGAGTGATATTCTAAGGAACTTCTCAAAATGCCCTTAGCAATGCGAGGCTTTCTGAGCAGGGGAGGGGGGTCTGCCTGGGTGCAAGCTCTCCTGGTTATGATCTGTGACTTTAAGGGAAGACCTTAGGTTTTTGGGGACCCCTTAAGGGAGAAGTTTGTTCCACTGGCTTCTAACTGATGTTGATGACCTAGAGGACAATGTTGTAAAGTCCAGAATTCCCTCTACATGCAGGTACAAACACACATACACACCTGCACACGTGATGAACACATCGAGTCACGAATGCATACACACATGCATTCTCAAGCAGTCAAGTTTACTTGTCTCACGGTAAACTTTATAGCATTTTCTAGAGACTGGAAAGACCAGTGATTCTCAACCTTCCTAATGCCGTGACCCTTTAATACAATTCCTCATGCTGTGGTGACCCCCCAGCCATAAAATTATTTTGTTGCTCCCACCTAATTGCAATTTGCTACTGAGCAGTGTCTCAGTTCCGAAGACCATTAGAAATACGCGGTTTCCGATGATCGTTACCCACAGGTTGAGAACAGTTGTCTTAGACTATGGTATCAGAGAGGGTACCACACCGCGTCAACTCCCAGTAGAAAAAAAACAGGCACAAGAGGCACAGATGGAGGGGACAGAAGGCAAGGGTGGCCCAGCTTTCTAACGGTCTGATCTGGGAGTCACCAGTCCATTCCCGATTGATCATGACTCTTCAGCCGAGACTCTTGAAAAATGCACAGATCCCTCTTAAGTGGCCAATTGCTTCCCAAAGGCTCCACTTTTCAATATGTGTGTTCTGAGGGGTGTGAGACGGCAGGACAAACCACCCCCCGGGCCAGGGTGGCCAGGGAAAACCTTCCACGATGGAGATTGGAAGAACCTTCTGTGCTAGAGCTCAGGGATGGGGAGGATGGGGACCTTCTCTTGGGCGTTAAAGTTGAATTGATTTACCTATTCGGAGGCACTCTCTTCCTCTTCTGTGGGAAGCCAGGCCTCTACAAAGGCCTTTGCTCCACGCCACCTTGGATTCTCCCATCCACTTCACTTCCTACCTCCCCCACCCTGCCGTGTGAGAACCACATGGGACAGGGGATGAGTCAGGTGCTCCATTTGGACTCAGGAAGGAAACTAGTCAGAGGAGGGCATGGGAGCTTTGATGGTGGGGAACAAAAGGCTGTCAACCCTCATACTTGGGGAGGGGCAGGATTGGAGATTCTCTTCCCTGACCAGGGTATGGCTGTGGGATGCATGTGCCCAGGGATCTAGGTTTAGTTGTAGGCTTCTGCAGAGCAATCAGCACGACAACAGTGATGAGGCCAGGGAACCAAGCGATAGTTAGGGAGTGAGCGGACGCTTCCAGACCCCTCATGACCCCTCTGGCACTAACACCTTTTTTCATATGGCTCCTTAGTAAGTTCCTGCTCAGCCCTTAAGATGTGACTTAAGTAGCCCCTCTGTCCCTGACTCCTAGAAAATGAAGGCGTGTGCTCAGGTATGGCTTCCACCCTGGGTGTGATCTTCCCTGGTATGAAAGCCTGCTGTCCATCAAAGTAACTCAGTCGGGGCTTGGGTGCTTCACCAGGCTTAGCCAATCGGGACTTTCTTTGTACCCTGTAGGGGGAGTGGACACCAGCTAGAATGGAGTGCTCCCTCTGCAGAACCCGATGACATCTGGGGTGGGGGTCCCTGCTGCTTTTGTGGCACCCTGGGGTATTAATGTGACAAGTCTGCCATTGTGGCATTCTGCCCACCTAGTCTCTGAACTCCTCACCCTACCCTGTATCCAGATGGAGTATGCGCCTTGCTCCTGCGGAAATGGATGGACGTGTTATATATGCCTTGGCCACTTGGTGTCCCTCGAGCTTCCAGTCTGAATCAAGGGTGGTGCATGTGCACCATGTGAGCTAGGAAATCGGTTGCTAGAGGGTGGGGGCGATGTCATCATAGTCCACAGAGGACGGCTCTGGAGAGCTGCAGGAAGGGGCACCTACCACAGGGCACTGTCACAGACTGGCTCAGCACATGGGCATGGTGGATAAGGTGTGTCCCTCCCATCCTCTGCCCACCTTGTTCCCCGTCCCAAGAAGGACATTCTCAGATCCTGCACAGAGCATTTAATGGCAGTAGCCTTACTAACCGGGGAAGCAGGGATCCAGTCCCCATCTCCTTGCCCTCTCGGGCAAGTCAGCATTCCGATGTTCTGGTTCCATTGTAAGCTGGGCGCACGCTTCTGATCCCAGCCCCGCCAGCCAAGCCTCCTAGCTCAGGCTCTGCAGGAAGTCCACCAGCAGGTGCTCTGGGAAGCCGAAGTCCATCTGCAGCAGCAGGAAGCCCTGCAGGAGACACGGGCAGGCTGTGCTGGCTCCTGAGCCACCAGGAGAGAGATGCTTTCTAGTAACTACCAAACACTCCGAGTCTAGAGCCATCTGAGAGAAATCTCACCCAGGACTGGCCTAGATCAGGTTAGCATGTGGATATGTCTGGGTAGGGGGTGGGGCACTGCCTTGATGGTTAACTGTTTTAAGTTGGCACAGCACAGTGTGGGCAGCACCATTTTCTGGGTGGGTAGTTCTGGGCTATGTAATATAGTTAGCTAAGCATGGGCTTGAGTGACCCATTCCTCCAGGGTTCCTGTCTCAAGTCCCTGCCCTGGCTTCCCGCTGTGATGGGCTGCAAACTGAAGTCAACCTCTCCTCCTCCGAGCTGCTTTTGGCCAGGGTTTTATCCCAGCGATAGATACCAAATGTGAACACTATCTGTCTGTCCAAGAGATGGGGCTATGGACGACTTCATACGCACATCACGAGTGATGATCTCGGGGTTGATGATGTCGAAAAGGTCCAGGCCTTTGCTGTTCATGAGGGTTGTCAAGGCCACTTCCAGCCCTAGGCAGGGGAGGGAGCCAAGTCAGCTCTTTTGGGGAAGCAGGATCCAGCCCCAGGCCCAGGTTGGAGCATCTAGGTAGCCCCAGAGGGAAAGGCTGGCACTGATGGTATCTGTGAGCCTCTCTCAGTCACCCTGCTGCAGCTGTCCCTCCCTAGTGGTCAGTCCTCATACCTGGGGCTCCTCAGTGCACTTTGCAGTCACACAGAAAATCTATCTTTCTATTCCACTGTCTGTGATACATTTATTTTCTAGTTTCTATAGTACTGGGATTGAACCTGGGGCCTCACAATACTGGTCTCTCTAGCTCTCCTAGGTTATACTAAGTTCCCCAGGTAATTCCTGAACTTGCTCCATAACTCAGACAGGGGTCTGCTCTTGCGATCCTCCTTCCAGATAGATGTCATGAGAGGCCTGCACCATCATATCCAGTGTTCCTATAGCTTTAGCATAATCATATTGGTGAGGGAAACTGAGGCTGAGAAAGAGACCAGATACACAGTCAGTTTCTCTTCTTTCTTAGTCTACCAAAGGCATGTAGGTAAGCAGATATTCAGAGTGAAGGTGCAGCCGACTATACCTCCTTGTGTGGAAGGGAATGACTATGCTTCCTTGTGTGGAAGGGAATACCCACTGTTCCTCATGGTTTTTTTGTTTTTTGTTTGTTTGTTTGTTTGTTTGTTTGAGACAGGGTTTCTCTATAGCTTTGGAGCCTGTCCCAGAACTAGCTCTTGTAGACGAGGCTGGCCTCGAACTCACAGAGATCCTCCTGCCTCTGCCTCCTGAGTGCTGGGATTAAAGGCGTGCGCCACCACCACCCAGCTCATAGGGCCTCTTTTAAGGTGTCTTCTACACACCCCTGGGTGAGATGCTACCATTGGAGTAACTACAAACAAACAGAGATCCTACAGTGTCAGGGTTCGCAAGGAATCTGGGGATCAGTAAATCTCATTTTATAGGAAGGGAAACTGAGGTTTGTCCTGGGCTCCCACTAAGTGGCTACCTCCAGCTGTCAGTTTTTTTTTTTCTGACATATCCAGTTACCACTGGGAGACTTGCGTTCTTATTTTTATTTTATTTTTTGTTCTTATGAGACAGGGTCTCTCTACATAGTCCTGACTGTACTAGGACTCATTATGCAGACCAGGCTGACCTCAAGCCCACGAAGATCTACCTGCCTCTGCCTTCCAAGCACTGAGATG